ATCAGACTCCCACCGTGTAGCTGCATCTAGATCTAATTGTAGTTTGTGACAGTCTTCTGGTGTTTTTATTTCTTTGTAGATGATACTATCGTCAGCAAAGAGCCTTAGTTTACTATGATGGAGATATTCAGGGAAGTCATTTATATAAATAAGAAAAAGGATAGGTCCAAGGACTGTTCCCTGGGGCACGCCAGAAGTGACAGATACAGAAGTGGAGGAAATGCCATTTATAACTACTGTTTGTGTTCTATCTGATAGAAAATCATGAATCCAGTTTAATGTCTGTTGTCTTATACCATAGAAATTTAACTTGTACAGAAGGCGACGATGGGGAACCTTATCGAAGGCTTTAGCAAAGTCCAGTATGATTAAGTCAGTTTGTATGTTGTTATTGTTTTTGTACATGTATGTTAGTTCTTGGATAAAATCTATTAATTGTGATTCACATGATCTTGATTTCCTGAACCCATGTTGTAAATCATATAAGATGTTATTGTTTTCTAGATGGGCCATGATGTTGCTTGTGATTATGTGTTCCATTAACTTGCAACATATGCAAGTCAATGAAATTTGCCTATAATTTACTGCTTTGTATTTTTCATCCTTTTTAAAAGCTGGAGCTACATTTGCTTTTGTATTGATAATTAATAGTCACAATATTTTCGAAGTTTTTTGTAAATATTATTCCTAAAAGCTTAAAGGTGTCACCACCCCAATTAATTTTTAAGTCTTCGCATAGAGTTTGTTTTGATCCAGCCTTGCTTCCTAACCATATTGCTTGAGATTTTGAAATATTAAGTTTCAAACCAGATGCATTTCCAAATTGTTCAATTAATTTCATCGATTCTCTCAATGATTTTTCACTTCCATCTAATGTTAAAAAAGAGTCATCTGCATATTGTCCTAGCTTATTTTCTTTCCCATTAATGGATATGCCTTTGATATTTTCATTTTTCTTCAATGAGATTGCTAGTAGTTCTACTGTAATGATAAAATGGTGCTAATGGGTCTCCCTGTCTACATCCACGTTCAAGATTAAAAAAAGGAGGATAAGTTTCCATTATTTATCACACAGCTTGTGCTGGATGAGTAAAAAGTATTAAACCATTTAACTAATGACTCCCCAAAATTAAAGGACTTTAATGCTTTAACAATAAAATCCCATTCTAATGAATCAAAAGCTTTTTCAAAATCTAATAAAAGGAGCAAACCAAACCGTTTTTTATCTTTAAGGTAATCTATTAAATCATATAAAAACCTGGTATTTTCACCTATAAAACGTCCTTTTATAAAACCTTTTTGGGTATCACTTATAATACTGGTCAACACATTCTTAATGCGATTCGCTATGGTACTAGAACCAATTTGTAATCTACATTTAATAATGAAATAGGTCTCCAATTTTTCATGTATCTTCTATCCTTTTCCTCTTTAGGAATGCATGTAATTACCCCCTGAGATTGGAACTGTGAAAGTTTTCCAGTTAAAAACCCTTCATTTAAAGATTTCATAACAAAGATACCTATATCATTCCAGAAAAATTTGTAAAATTTCACTGTAAACGCATCTGATCCTGGTGATTTTTTGTTTTTTCATATTTTTTAGTGTCTTTGTGCATTCCTTAAGTTTCAGAAAACCTCCACAATTGTCTCTTTCTTCATCAGATAATTTGACGTTATGTTGTAGAAAGAAAAAGACAAAAATGTTTCATTATTTTTATTTCTTTTACTTTTGTATAAATTTGAGAAAAAAGACCTTTGTTCATCCAGAATGTCAGACTGATCTGAAATCTTCTCCATGTGTACTGTCTTACTTCCTCATTCCAGATTCTCCATGGATCATGAATTTCAAGTTCATTTTTTATATTTTTTATTACTTCATTTGCCTTTGGATTATTAAGATTCTTAACATTGAAAGTGTCAAGTTCTTTATTTTGAACAACATTCCAATCCCCACAAATAAGGATAGACATGTTTTCTAATTTTGTAATTTCTTCTTTAATGTTTTGAAAAAATTCTGGACTTTCATTATTTGGACCATACAAATTTACTAAAGTAAATCTAAATTTATTTGCTGAAATATCCATTTTAATATATCTACCCAAAGAGTCATGTTTAACTGAATGGATATCTAATTCAAAGTTATTCTTGAAAAGTATTGCAACTCCGGCTGAGCTGCTTGTATAACTACTGAAAAAGGATTTGTAGCCCCACTCTGATTCCCATAACCTTGAAGTCTCATGAGTACTGTGTGTTTCTTGAAAACAAATAATAGAGATATTTTTATTTCTGACCCAGAAAATGTCAAATGAAGAACTCTATCATAGAACGAAGACAGCTAGAGCGAGTGAGATAATAACTCTCAGGAAATGGAATTGGATTGGCCATGTACTGAGGATGGAGAACACCAGAATTTGTACCACCGCACTGACATGGCATCCAGAAGGAAAAAGGAAAGTAGGCCGACCGAAAACAACTGATTGCGGAGTTTTCTGGTAACAATAGCTAGCACTGATTGCTGAGTTTTCTGGTAATAATAACTAGTGCTGATTGCTGAGTTTTCTGGTATTAATAGCTAGTGCTGATTGCTGAGTTTTCTGGTAACAATAGCTAGCACTGATTGCTGTGTTTTCTTGTAACAATAGCTAGCAGTGATTGCCGAGTTTTCTGGTAATAATAACTAGTGCTGATTGCTGATTTTTCTTGTAACAGTACCTAGAGCTAATTTCTGAGTTTTCTGGTAACAATAGCTAGTGCTGATTGCTGAGTTTTCTGGTAACAGTACCGAGAGCTGATTTCTGGGTTTTCTGGTAGCAGTAACTAGCGCTGATTGCTGAGTTTTCTGGTAACAGTACCGAGAGCTGATTTCTGGGTTTTCTGGTAGCAGTAACTAGCGCTGATTGCTGAGTTTTCTGGTAATAGTACTTAGTGCTGATTTCAAAGTTTTCTGGTAACATTTAGCTAGTGCCGCTTTCGCGTCAAACAACGAATGCTGGGAGGGAATGATTTTTGAAAATGCAACTGTACAGTTTTGCAAAGAAACTTCTTGATGTTGTCAATGATGCATAGTTTATAAGAAGTTGGTCACAGTCAATAATAATAAAGTCAACTGACTTCGTGCTAAAAATAATAGTGTGCTGATTTTCCATCAAATTATTGTCACTGTAGGTTTGCGAATGAGATTTTTGACAGAGTCCACAAATAAGTAAGATTGAAAAAGAATGAAGTAAAATGTAACTTACTTTAATGTTTTCGTTATATTATATTGCATTATTTTTCTTGATGAGTGTATCTATGAACATTGCAAACAAAAGTAACATTATGCAAACTTGAGAAAATATAAGCACAAATAAAAACTGTATATGATAGGAGGCAGAAAGGGATGTATACCGGGTATTTAATAATCTTAAAAAATGATTGGCAATCAACATAAATTCAAAGTTTGGTTTTACATTATCAAATTGAAAATGTGGTCTTAAATTCAATAAAAAGAATTAATAAATGGATTTCTATATGGAAATTAAGGTAGTCTGATTGTCTGGTTCTAAAAACCAGCAGTTAAGTAATTGAAAATGTTTGCGAAGAAGTCTCTGAATTCACAAAGTAGTGTAATTATCCATTTCATTTCTTCAAAGTTCATCATTATAGTCATATGATAGCAATACCTATTGATGATTTCTTACTGGAAGAAGATAACTTTGAAAGTGATAACCGCACGGTTTTGCAGAGAAGCTTTTTTTTAACATATATATTCCTTAAAATATTTGGAAAACATTTTGTAACAAACACAAATGAATAAATGCGTAATTACATGATTCTTCGCAATATTTCCGAGAAATATTTATCTGACATATAAATCTAAATTGATTTTAAATACCTTCAAAGACAAATTTGTAAATTTTCACATGTTTTTTTTTCACGAAAAGACAGGCGCGGATCCAGGAATTTATTACGGGGGGGGGGGGGGGGTGTCCACCCCAGATAAAAAATTTCTCCCAGAAAAATCTTGAAAGGAAAAAAAAAACAAAAAAAAAAAAAAAAAAAAAAAAAAACATTCCCGAACCTATCAAACCCAGTAAATGTCTTTTTTAGCAAAAAAAAAAAAAAAAAAAAAAAGGTTAATTCCCTTTCCCCAACATGAAAAATACCTCTTTCGTGATGGTGGTGGTGGTCCACGTTTTCCGGGGGGGGGGGGGGTCCAAAGTCCTGACCCCCTCCCAACCCCCCTCTAGATCCGCGCATGAAAGATAGTGCCTAAAGCTTGTTGATAATAATTTCTTACCACCAGTCTGTCTTCAGCGGTCACAACATAACATTAGCAGACTGACGGATAGTGAAACCAAAAGGTTTAAGTTTGAAATGGAATATAGAGGAGAAACTCCTTGAAAATATAATCCTTTGATATCGAGCATCTCCATTTAAAACATTCTGCACACCCCATTAATTGATCTGCATTAATTTTGCCCTTCTGCTTTTGAACAATTAGTCAAGCTTTGATATGGAGCATGTCATTAGACTTTTTCTTAAGTCCTAAGCTTAATGACTTCGTAACCGTATAAATGACCTTAATTGCGAAGGGGGGGGGGTGTCGTAGACTTTGATTTGAAAAAAAACCTACCCAGACTCAAAAATTTGTTGGGGGGATTTACTTCTACTTTTGAACCAATTATTTTAATGCAATAAAATCGACCTAACTGCAACAAAAGTGTGTGTGTGCAGCGAGGAAAGGGGTGGTGGTGGGTGGGGCAGCAGAGTTTCTTCACTATAAAAAACTGTACTCAAAAAAATTGTACTAAAAAAAAGCGGGGGGGGGGGGGGGGGCTTTCAAAACCTGCATTGTCCAATTAAACTCCACAAAATGTATCATAAAAAGTCACCTGATTATTCATTAAATTTTATCTCGGATGACTTTCCTAGTACTACAGTCTTTAGAATATATTATCTTCGGTGATTCAAAATAATGCCTCTCTATGGATCATAAAACAAACAAGGTTTTTTCATATGTATCTTTAATTATATTTGTGTAAAATTCATAAAAATATACGAGTATATACAAAAAGATACAAAAATGCTCATCAATTCTCTCATTTAATATATCAATAATGGCACAGTCCATTGTCACACAAACTTCATCCATTCAATTTATGCAAGAATAAAAATTCAATACTCCATCTACATTAACATATACTTGATACATGATACCTTATGTGTTAGAATGATTTGTACAAAAATGTGATGACATGATATTTAAAGAATTAAACATAAAATTTTCAACTTTTCCATACAAGTAATCAGTAATAAAATGACTATGACTGAATTGCATAGAGATATATATATATTTCAAGATAGATTTTTAGACTATAAATGTGCGACTGAGAGGAAAAGGAAAAATTCTCAAGGAGAAAATTCCAGACAACTAAATAAAGATTACTTTCAACACTTCACAGATTGTAACATCCCCCCCCCCCCCCCCCGAAACATGATATTTCTAGGTCAAGTGAACAATGTTTTTATCCCATGAGTACAACATACTCTTTGGTATATCTCTTGATTAATATAGCCAGCAGAATATTCAACTGTTAATGCTTCATCACTGTGTTTCCACTAGCATTGCTGTTTCTGTATCTGTTTTGTAGAAATATCTTGTGTAGTCTAGCTCTAGATGTTGCATGGTTCTTGTTAGATGTCACACTGGTTACAGAAAATGTTTTATCAACAGCGGTCCGAAAAGTAAAAGAAGAAGGGAAATGATGGAGCCCTTTGTAGGGATAGCAGAGTTACAGTCATCTCTTGTACAGCTATATACACATGCTCGATATAAACGATCGTGGTCTGGGTACGACAAATCTTGACACTGGTCCCCTAGGTCCCGGGCACTGCAAAAGCGATGGGTCCCAACTATTCCTGGGAAAGACAATTTAACAGATGTCAATAATACATCCTTTATATTAATATAAACTTATTAAGCTAAAAAATTGATGATTGATATTATCAACAATAAATTCAGCAATTAAAAATTCTAAATAAAAAAATTTAAATAAACTAATTTTGTACATAAATGTACTATGGAGCAGATACCAAGAAATCATTCTTCTTTCCTGTTCCTTCACACACTTTCATCAGTACAGTAAAACATTCTCATAGGGAAGTGCCAGGGACAGACGATTTTCCTTCATTATAAATTCATTACATCTATTAAGTTTACAATGTGTTTTAAATTAGAGACCCTCACCTGAGTAACTTTGGCCCTGCTGTTCTTCACCAGATTTTCCCCTTGAAATACTTATTATGGCCCCACCCTACTCCAACTTTGGTTAAAATTGGCACAGTGGTTCTTGAGAAGAAGTTGAAAATGTGAAAAGATTACAGACGGACTGATGGATGACGGACAACGGGTGATCAGAAAAGCTCACTTGAGCTTTCAGCTCAGGTGAGCTAAAAATCAAGGGGATAAAATAAATATCAATTCACTGTGTGTTTGCTATAAGCATGTTTTACTGTATATATGACTTTTCTGTCTTCCCATCAATTTCACAGTCTTACTAAAGTAACTAACTTTCATTGCATGTTCTACCTCCCCTTCACTCTGTTAGGCAATATTAAAACAAGTATAAAGCACTGTACATTAGAAAAATATATCCTATTTTCTCTCCCTCCTTCCTTTCTTTCTCATTGCAACACAATAAGAACATATTTCTCACCTCCCCATACTCCTGTTATCTTTATGCAGTAGCGGGCATTGTACACTGTACACTTGGTAGAACGGATGGGATTGACACTTTGATCATGGTCGAAGCGATCTTGACAGTTGGAATCTAATGTTGAGTTACACTGGTAACAATTCAGTGCTAAAACTGGGAAAAAAATGTTATGGTTAGTTAAATTATAAATACATGACTTCCTAAAAAACTTGGAATGGACCAAATCAGTGAATTCTGGATTCAGCATCACTATGGTAGCTCCAGAACTCTAGTTCTCCGGAAAAAAAAAGACAGTTCGGCTGTCTATCGCAATTCTTTTTCAGACCAGCGAGCTACAGATCGACAGCTACAAAACTAGAGGATTCTTGGTGGCAAAGTGCAATTCAAAGTTGTGTACATGCAAGTAACAATGGGAATCTATCTGTACATTTACACCATACAAGAAATCAAGAAAATGAATACACGTGACGTACATATATTAATAAAATGGGTCTCTTGTTGGAATCAAAGTACTGAGTAATTGTCAATGGTAAACAGGTAACTACTTTTAAAACTCAACATCACTTCAAATCCACAGTGACGCTATATTTCATCACACCTTAACTATTTACCTGAAGAGAAAGAACAAAAAATAATCGCAGTTTGGAGGAGGCTTGTTCCAGGTAACATCTTCAGGGCTTATTTAGAGAAAATGTGATTTGTCGTAGTTGTTCAGTTGTTTTGAATCACATCATACAAAATGTCTTCCGGTTTTTACCTGTGTGAAAGCGACACCTGTAAATACCTGTCGGCATGAATCATTCAGTAACGATAACTCTCTAACAATAATTATTGTAAGAAGACAAACCAAAAAACTTTTTTATATATATAATTCACTGCATTTTCATTTTTATTATATTGAGAGAGGGGGGGGGGGGATTCTTCCAGGGTCTCCAGCTTTCATCAAAAGATTCTCTTTCATAATTTTTTATAAGATACTGTATATAATTTGTAATTCATTAATAGAGGATATCAACCCACCTAAGGAAATGCTTCTGTTTCACTTTGTAAATCTGTACAAATAAATGTAATATTTATTTGTAAGCAATATTTTTAATCTTGCCCACAGTATTCAATTTTAAAAAAAATATCGATATCTAAAAAAGAATCCAACCCATTGTCTTGTAGTAATATTTTTTTCATTCATACTAGTTTTAAGGACATTATGAACTTTCTTACACTAATTATCTTGAAACCTCTTTCCTTATAATTTATTACACAAAATTGAATTATTGCTACCCATTACAAATGTGAAGAAAATCTTTTCTAATTCTTTCAATTGTATTTCAGAAGTACTTTTAAAAAGTTAAAAGCATCTCGACGTTTGTTTAAATTCCCAGATAATTAACAGACATTTTTTTTAAGTTCATCTCTAGTAGAAAAGTAAAACATTACCCTTGAAAGCGTGAAGCAAAAAAAAAAACAAAAACAAAAAACAAAAAACAAAACAAAACAAAAAACAAAAAAACCTATTTGATTGGTTCGTACTGGAAAATCAAAGCATCGATAAACAAGGTCACATTGTGTGTTTTGCAAAATTTCATGTGACTATTTTTAATTCTTAATCATGTACAAATTATCAATTTGAACACAAATTATCAATTAAAAATTACAAGTACACTGTATGTAATTGCAAATTGTCGATTTGTTTTTTCAATTAAATAATTTGTTATAACAACTTGCTAAATTCGATATAAAATATTATTACTTTCAAAACTACTCGAACTGTGGAGAAAAGTCCAAATTCTGATTTACAGTTTGTTAGATAGTAAAAAATTAGAGTTTCTATTAATAGAGAATAACTGATATTTCAGAAGCAGATTTTGTTGATAATCAATAAAGAAAGGATATTCATTTTGTAATTTTTTACAAACTTCATACGGCATATGTTCTCTTGGAATATTCCTGTATCTACCACTTTCAACTTCTAAAGAATGGCCACTTACTCTGAAATTTGAAAATAACTAATTTTTCCTCGAACAATCAGTTTTTAATTTACTATAAAGATGGAATTTAGAGTTATCTGTAATTGAAGAGAGTTACGTTGCAAACATCATGGACTTGTTGAATTTTTATTCGAGATAATAGTACATTTTATTAAATGTTACAAATTTTTTCCTTCCAGTTCTATTTTCTAAAAAATACTAGAAGCAAAACTATACCAACTACATAAAATCAACATGTAGGGGCTGATAAATTTCATAAGCTTCTTTCAAGGGGGAGGTGGTCATTTCCTTTATACTGACTCTACAGAAATATTGCAATTCTTGAACCTTCTTGGAAAATACAGTTCAAAATGTATGATTCAAATTTTATGAAAATTGAACAGAAATGATAAAGAAATTAAAATATTTCAAAATGAAGAAAATTAAGCAAATGAATGTGTTTTGGATATTTTTGCGTTTCTGAAGAAAATTCTATGAAGAGAAAATTGAAAGAATAGTTAAATAACGCCATCACATCCGACCTTAAACATCAAGATTTGACCTTGCATGAAGATTAAAGACTTCTAAATACGTGTGTCCAATTATCAGGTCTACTTGCTAAAAAAAAAAGTTACATTTTATTATAAGATAGTTTAATCACAGCTGAAATAAACATATTGAAGATGAACATGTAGGCTCTCAAACGTCCAATATTTCAAATGTCTCCAATCCAATATTTGATTGATTGATTGTATGTTGTCTTACGTCCCGTTCGAGAATTTTTCACTCATATAGAGACGGCACCATATACCGGTGAAGGGCTTTAAATTTAGACATTTACTCGGCACTCAATTGCCATTGAGCAGTGAGGGTTCTTTATCGTGCCAACGCCTACCATGACACGGGGCCTCGGGATTTAAGGTCTCATCAGAAAGACCCGCAACTTTCACTTCAAAGTGCCGAGCGCCTGGCGAAGGAACAGTTACTACCTATTTTTCATCGGCTTATGTCAGTCGCGGCCGTGATTCGTACACATGACCTTCCGATCTCGGAAACAGCGCTCTACCGAATAAGCTACCGTGACTGCTCCAATTTTGAAGAACAGCACAAATAAATGTTATAGTTTATAATTCTTTGTTCAGGCATCATTTAATTATTATAATGCTTGAATTTGCACTACCTGACGATGCTTGCTTAATAGTAATACTAATATGGCCCTGCTGTTCTTAGACAGAAGATTTTCAACCATTTTTTCAACCATTTTTCTATATATTCCCGTAAAAAAAATGTTCCCCTATTGTTGTCCCAACCCACCTCAGGGACCATGATCGGAACAAATCTTTTCTGGTCCGGTGGTTCCCAGAGTAGAAGATTATTCAAATGACCAAACTTAATTTTCACTATTACTTAATTATTTCCTCTTGGAAGAGAGTGTGACCCTTCATTTGCAGAAACTTGACTACCCTTCCACCAAGGATATCTATCTATCTATCTATCTATCTATCTATCTATCTATCTATCTAACTCTTTAAAAAATTTCAGGATTAGCAGGGGGTTACTAATGAAAAAAGGTGAAAATAACGAACAATATGAATCTGTGAACAAGGCATAAAACACGAACCAGGCTTGAGGCGAATTACATTGTAAAGTAATGCATTACATTACCATTACTTTAAGAATTTGGCATTAAATTACCATTACCATTACATTACTTTACCATTACTTTAGCAAAGTAATGCATTACCTTCGAATTCACGAACCAATGAAAATCTCAGAGGTGGAATCAGGTGCCTTGGAGGAGTAAGCATCCCCTGGTCACACCCGTTGAGCGCCCTATTTTCTGATCAGGTAGACGGAATAGTCAATTTTTCAAATTTCCTGTAGTCAAATTTAGTATAAATACGAAGGTCTAACAAATGGTATGAGATATGTCGCCAAAATACGGCCCAATGATATGTAAAAATTGCTAAGAAGGTCATTATAAGAACCATGGAATTTACAAAATGCTGACATTAAACGAGGTTTTTGAAATCCCTGTAACATCAACTTATCTGTCATTAGCCTGCCTCGGTTTAAGAATTGATCGTATTCAGAGCTCTTGCTGAGTATCGAATAAGTTGTAAGACATAAATACCAAGTACAGGTGATAACGAAACATGAAGCTGACGATGGAAAAGTTGAAGTCATATCGTTTTATTATACAGCTGAGTTGTTAGTTGACCCTTATCGTCTCTAGTAAAACATCCAAATATGAAACGAATTGGCAGACTGTGGTGTCTTTAAATTCGAGTTGGGATATATTGAGTTCGACATATGAATGGAGATAACTATTGTTCATTGATAAAATGTCGTGATATATCTGAATATCGAGTTAAAGCCATAAGAATGCCTTCTTCTCATGTAGAAGTTTTTGAATAAATTCTTCTTCATAGGAATATAGAAACAGGTCGGCTAATAAAGTAGCACAATTAGTGCCCATCGAAATTCTAACAGTTTGTTCGAAGACCCGCTCTCCGAAGACTACAAAGATGTTGTCCATGGAGGACTCTAGCATTTTTTTAGTATTAACTTCTCAGTACTTGTGTGTATAGTTTAACAAAGCAATTTTTTGATGAACATTCACAAGATAAGAAAATTTCTGAGTTACATTCAATTTTATTGAAGAAGCATTTGTCTATGTTATCAGAAGCCTAGTTTTTGATTTATCGCAAGGAATGGTTGTATAAAGTGAAGAAAAGTCTAATTTTTGAAAAAAAGAATTGTGATTTTAAATTTTCTAAAAGTTCTTTGGAGTTTTTGAGAATCCACTTTTGATTTACCCCACTTCCAGAAAACTAGGCAAAATAACTCACCTATTCTTATTTGTGAATTAAATATTTGCATAATCGGTTTTAGTATATCTGATATGCCATCTTTTCCAATACATCGGTTGACAAATGTTTTGGTATCATGACAAGACCCTTAAATGACCTTGCCCGAAAACCAACTTCCCAACGTGCACTGCGCACAGTTTTTGCCCAGATTGGAGGTTGCTCATCACCAATGGTGGCCCATAAGGTTGCAAAAGGAGCAGTCTTCCAGTTAAAAATCAAATAATATACAGCAACTGACTATCATATCGCAAAGTAGTCATCCAGAGCCTTGATGTCCATACCCAACTTCCGGTTGCCTCAGTTGTTTGGAACAATCTTGAAATTGTCGTGTGGTGCTTACTTAATGCCGTGGCTAGGTATAGTAGACATTTTATGTTTGTTAATCTATTTGCAACAATTTTTTCACTAGAGGAATGAAGAATCTTTAATTGTTTTAATTTTAAAAAAATTCTATACACCATTCTGTCTGCTTTAGCACGCTCTTCTAGCGTCAAATGGCGCATAAGTTTTTAATTGGTACAAACTTAAAGAAGACAAACACATATAAAAAGATAGAATTAAGTGACATATTTTTGTATCAAATACATCATAAACAAGTTTTGAAAAGTAAAATATTTAATTTTCTTTGGTAGTGCGCTAGCAATTAACCCTCCTATCGACACAAATATTCCCACATTTGTTCAAATCATACACAATGGGGATGTGGCTGGGCTTAAATCAGTCATTTTTTACATAATATTTGTATATAGGGGAAAACCTTCAAATAATCTGCCCCAGCAAGGCCACAATATGTTCATACTGAACAATTGTTCCCAGCGGTCAGTGTATAGTGTGGATTCAAGTTTGGTTGAGCCTTGATCCTTTGGGATTTGGGTGGGGTCTCGATAAGTACCTAGACAACATTTTTCACA